CAGGTGAGTACTGGGAATTGAACCTGGGTCCTCTGCAAGAGCAGTCAGTGCTCTTAACTGCTGAGCCATCTCTCCAGCCCCTCCCAAATGACTTTTTTTAAAAAGCAGGGTTAAAATACAACCAGGATATGACTCCCTCTCAAGGCAAAGTTCAGACCTTTCCCTATAGTCCTTAATGAACCATTCAAAATGTTTTTTGACAGCCTACACATTAGTTTGGACTAGGTATTTCTAAGGGATGTGCATCCTTACATGATAAAGCATTCACATTTAATTTTGCTCATTCCACAGGCTATTTATAAATGTGGCACAAGAATGGAGACTTTAGATCAAAATTGTGTCCAGCCATCTTCTAGTCATTGACCATGTGTCAAACAAAGATAGTAAGACAGCATAGTCCCTTTCAGGGACTCATGATTAAGTTGTACATGTGAGGTGCAAAAAAATAATAACATTCTCTGATGGGTGCAGTAAGAGATATTCAGAAAAAATATGATGTAAAGACCAGGGAGAAATACAGTATGGGTTTTGGCTTTTTTTAAAATTTTATTTTGAGATGGGGGGGCAATGTCCTTACTAAGTTGCCTAGATTGGTTTCAAACTCCTGGGTTCAAGGAATGCTCTTCCCTCAGACTCCCACATTTTTGCTTAAAAAAAAAAAATCTCATTGTGGAGAGGTATGGTGGCACATGCCTTTAATTCCAGCAGAGGAGACAGATCTCTGTGACACTGAGGCTAGTCTGGTTTACATAGCGGGTTACAGGAGAGCTGGGACTATAGGGAAACCCTGTCTCAAAAAGATCAAACAAACAAACCCAAAGCAAAACAAAACAAACCTCCCTGTGGCAGGAGTGTGGAGGATGGATGAATTGGATGTGGCCAGCCTGGGGACAAGACCACAACAGTCTACTAAAAGCCTAGCTGTAACTAAGACAAGAGTAAGGAGGACTAGGGGGCAGAGTGGACCGGGAGTTAGTTCACTGAGTGAAGACTGGAGGCTACATTCCCATATATTGTGTTAAAAGTACCTGATAGTTTTGTTTTAAGGCTACACATAGAGAACTTGTTGAGGCATTTGGTATTGAGAGCGCTGTGATTGAAATTAAACATCTGGTTTTAGAGGCAGATCTCTTGCTCTACAGCAAGAACTGGCCTAGAACAAAAACTGAATTTCAACTCACTGGGCTTAGTTTGATAAGAACCCGGGAAAATATGCACTGTCTGCAGCTACAGATAACGGAGACAGAATGGCAGAGGTGCCTGTAAGGGTGCCAAGACGCAAGAGACCATCTACAGTGTGAAAAGCCGCAGCTGAGGCTCAGGAGATAGAGTCAAAGCATTGGGGGCTGTAGCTCAGTGGCAGAACCCTTGTTCAGGATAGCAGGGCCCTAGGTTCAAACTCCATCATCAAGGAAAAAAAAGGCAATTCAAAACGCTCAGTGTCTTTGGCACTTTGAAACCTGACAACCTGGCAAGTCTACCACATTCCAGTGGTGGAGGGAGAAGCTACCTTGCACTGGATCTGTCGTACACAGGGGGAAGAGACCTGACTGAGACAATGGGGTAGAGAATTTCCTAAAAATATGACAGTCAAGAGACAGGCAGTCCAAGACTAGCGTTGTTTTCTTAAATTAAAGCATGAGATGGACATGAACACACCCCAAGTGTGAAATGCACTAAGAAAGGCGGATGGGTTAAAGATCCAGGAAGACAGAAAGTGCTTGAGGAAGCTCGAAGCACCAGACCCTTAGCATTGGAAGAGCTAGCTTGTCAAAATCTGATAATCCTTGGAGTTCTCCTGGAAGGTAAGGGTGGAGGAAGGAAAGCAGGGGTGGGTTAGGAGCTGGAGAACATGAGGAAGGTGTGCGAGAGCATCTGCAACCAGGACATGGATCAGCAAAACTTCACCAAAGGAATGCCCATTCGGCATTTCGTCTAGCAAGGGTCGCGTGTGTGTGTGTGCGTGTGCGCTCTGATGTAGATTTATGTCCAGGCCCGCCTCTCAGTTATGTAACTTCCTGAGCCAAAGCTTCATCTGAGACCCTTCCAACCCCCCCCCCGCCCCACCCTGCGGGGAGAGAGGACCCTGCCCCGAGGTACAGTGAGAGGTGGGCCGTGGTGGCCCAGCACTGCCCCCTGGAACTCACTATGTAGACCAGGCTGGCCTTGAACTCACAGAGATCCACCTGCCTCTGCCTTCCAAGTGCTGGGATTAAAGGCGTGTGCCACCACGTCTGGCCTTAGCTAACAGTGTTTTTAAAGGACTCTTTGAAGGGTAGTCTGGGAAATAAACTGCAGTAACACTGTAAGAAAAGTGTTTTCTGAATACTAGTTATTTGGATGTGGAGGGTTATACAACACAGAATGATGCCACACAGCCCGGTTCATGTGATCCATCGCCTCGGCCGTGTCGATGAGTGTGTTGTCCAGGTCAAAGAAGACCGCGCGCACCCGGCTCAGCCCCATGGCACCAGACGCCCGAGCCACGCGCAGCCACCACCGCCTCCAGCCCACGCGCAAGGCTGGCAGGGGAAGACGGGGGCGGTGTCGTGGGGTCACCTGACCCCCTCCAGTGCCCCCGGGGGGCGAACAGGGCTCTGCGGAATGCATGTGAGTGCACCCGTGTCGTGCAATGTCGTGGAGGTCAGAAGAGGGCATCGGATTCTCCTGGAACTAGAGTTAAGGACGGTTCTTAGCCACCAGCTGAGACTCAAACCCAGGTCCTCTGCAAGAGCAGTCAGTGCT